AGGGGACAGGGGACAGGGAACATCCCCCATCACCCCTACCTGAAAGCAAAACTATTTCAATTTGTTTCAAATCGAAATGACAAAGGAACAGACACACAATGATGACAAAATCCCATCATTTCCCATAGAAAGAATTCAAAGCAGCTGACAGGGACATTCCTAATCCATTCAATCAAAGCAGGCTTTTTGACATCAACAAAGAACACATCCTTCAAGCCGGAGTTGAACCAGCGACCTAAGGATTTCTGATTTACAACCCTACAGTCCTCCGCTCTACCAACTGAGCTATCAAAGGGAACGTGCAGTGATTATTTACAGGGGTGTACATCCACATTTACAAACAAAAATGACAACAAATCATTTCCCCCATCACCCCTACCTGAAAGCAAAACTATGTCAATTCGTTTCAAATCGAAATGACAAAGGAACAGACACACAATGATGACAAAATCCCATCATTTCCCATGGATAAACTGAAAGATTTCAAAGCAGCTGACAGGCACATTCCTAATCCATTCAATCAAAGCAGGCTTTTGAACATCAACAAACAACACATCCTTCGAGCTCGAGTTGAACCAGCAACGTAAGGACTTCTGATTTACAACCCTACAGTCCTCCGCTCTACCAACTGAGCTATCAAAGGGAACGTGCAGTGATTATTTACAGGGGTGTACATCGACTTTTACAAACAAAATCCCATCATTTCCCATGGATAAACTGTCAGCTGCTTTGAAATCTTTCAGTTTATCCATGTACACCCCTGTAAATAATCACTGCATGTTCCCTTGATTGGTGATTATTTACAGGGGTGTACATCGACTTTTACAAACAAAAATGACAACAAATAATTTCCCCCATCACCCCTACCTGAAAGCAAAACTATTTCAATTTGTTTCAAATCGAGATGACAAAGGAACAGACACACAATGATGACAAAATCCCATCATTTCCCATGGATAAACTGAAAGATTTCAAAGCAGCTGACAGGCACATTCCTAATCCATTCAATCAAAGCAGGCTTATTGACATCAACAAAGAATCCTTCGAGCCGGAGTTGAACCAGCGACCTAAGGATTTCTGATTTACAACCCTACAGTCCTCCGCTCTACCAACTGAGCTATCGAAGGGAACATGCAGTGATTATTTCCAGGGGTGTACATCGACTTTTACAAACAAAAATGACAACAAATCATTTCCCCCATCACCCCTACCTGAAAGCAAAACTATCTCAATTTGTTTCAAATTGAAATGACTAAGGAACAGGCACACAACGATGACAAAATCCCACAATTTCCCATAGAAAGAATTCAAAGCAGCTGACAGGGACATTCCTAATCCATTCAATCAAAGCAAGCTTTTTGACATCAACAAAGAACACATCCTTCGAGCCGGAGTTGAACCAGCAACCTAAGGATTTCTGATTTACAACCCTACAGTCCTCCGCTCTACCAACTCCGCTATCGAAGGGAACATGCAGGGATTATTTACAGGGGTGTACATCCACATTTACAAACAAAAATGACAACAAATCATTTCCCCCATCACCCCTACCTGAAAGCAAAACTATTTCAATTTGTTTCAAATCGAGATGACAAAGGAACAGACACACAATGATGACAAAATCCCATCATTTCCCATGGATAAACTGAAAGATTTCAAAGCAGCTGACAGGCACATTCCTAATCCATTCAATCAAACCAGGCTTTTGGACATCAACAAACAACACGTCCTTCGAGCTCAAGTTCAACCAGCGACCTAAGGATTTCTGATTTACAACCCTACAGTCCTCCGCTCTACCAACTGAGATATCGAAGGGAACGTGCAGTGATTATTTACAGGGGTGTACATCGACTTTTACAAACAAAAATGACAGGGGACAGGGGACAGGGGACAGGGAACATCCCCCATCACCCCTACCTGAAAGCAAAACTATTTCAATTTGTTTCAAATCGAAATGACAAAGGAACAGACACACAATGATGACAAAATCCCATCATTTCCCATGGATAAACTGAAAGATTTCAAAGCAGCTGACAGGCACATTCCTAATCCATTCAATCAAACCAGGCTTTTGGACATCAACAAACAACACATCCTTCGAGCTCAAGTTCAACCAGCGACCTAAGGATTTCTGATTTACAACCCTACAGTCCTCCGCTCTACCAACTGAGCTATCGAAGGGAACATGCAGTGATTATTTACAGGGGTGTACATCCACATTTACAAACAAAAATGACAACAAATCATTTCCCCCATCACCCCTACCTGAAAGCAAAACTATTTCAATTTGTTTCAAATTGAAATGACAAAGGAACAGACACACAATGATGACAAAATCCCATCATTTCCCATAGAAAGAATTCAAAGCAGCTGACAGGGACATTCCTAATCCATTCAATCAAAACAGGCTTTTTGAAATCAACGAAAAGTACATCCTTCAAGCCGCAGTTAAACCAGCGACCTAAGGATTTCTGATTTACAACCCTACAGTCCTCCACTCTACCAACTGAGCTATCGAAGGGAACATACAGCTACCATTTACAGGGGTGTACATCGACCATTTACAGGGGTGTACATCGACATTTACAAACAAAAATGACAACAAATCATTTCCCCCATCACCCTTAACTGAAAACAAAACTATCTCAATTTGTTTCAAATCTAAATTACAAAGAAATAGACACACAATGGTGACCAAATCCCATCATTTCCCATAGATAAACCGAAAGGATTCAAAGCAGCTGACAGTGACATTCCTCATCCATCCAATGAAAGCAGGCTCACAATATTTGATATCATTGAAAAGCACATCCTTCGAGTCGGAGTTGAACCAAATTTCAAAGCAACAGACCATCCGACAGGGATACCACTGTGTATTAGCACACTGATGAATTTGCAGTCTGCTATGACCTAGTATCACACCTCAACAAAATTACCTATTTACCTACTAAATACAGGTTTGATCAAGGAGAAAAGCATACAGCAATCATGGATCACAAAAACAATCTTATACAAGACTTTGTTTTTCTTCGTCCTTTGGTTTCTGTTTTTTTGTCAGTCCATATACAATTTGGATTTTTTAAAGATCAAAGTTCTTTTTGTTCCTATTAAGTTCAGGTGTGTTGTGTTTAAGTTTGTGTTTTTGTTATACAGTAGTTTTTTCTCTACCCAAGTAGTGTTTAGCATGAATGAGATTTAATGCGCTTATTTTACAGAAGTAACGTTCTTGATACTCCAGGACAATTGTTAATAAGCTGGACTGTCTTCCTGATCATGGAATGGATTCTGGCTTGACACTGGGTCACCTCGCTTTAGGAATAGTCTCAGACTCAGAAAAAACAAGGGGTAGAAAAAAAATGTACATGCAAATCGCAGGGGAAATATCTCATTACTTGTTGTACAATAATTCCTTTATCACTCTGTGACCTTAGTTCTTAATCTCGATCTCTTTGAAGGTAACTTAACTCAATTTACTTATAAAATGAATTAAATGTGTTTTAAACAAACATTGTACCTTTTCACTTGTGAATTTACAAAATTACATAAGTCTAAATTATTGCACTTCTTATGTTTAGATGGTTTACATTCTGTGAATAATGCTAGAAGTAAAACCCATGACTCTCTTATACATGTTAATCACAAAATTGCGTTTAGCAATGTCATTTTCAAAGACTACTAGCAATGTCATTTTCAAAACTCATGTTTTCAAAGACATGAGTTTACTTATTAAACTTAGAAAACCACTTTGACATGTTAACATAAATATCTGTGATTGGTTTATAATATTCGAAAATCAAATACACGACTTAAAACCACGTGGCTAATCACTATCTTAAATGCTACTATTCAGACCTTAACTCACCAGAGAGTCAATAATAAATCAAAAACAAAACATCAATGTCCCAAAGAAAAACAATGCTCTGGTCTACAGTCCAGGAATATAAGAGGTTCTACTCTGTTTAAACATAAAAACTTCAGGCAAAATGTTCACAAAAACGCCTGGTGTGTCTCCTTCAATCAGTTCAGGCGGGCTGTTTACTTTCACTTTCCTACTAGCATGAAGTAAAAATCACACACGCTACACATTCTCATGGCGCCATCTAGCAATTAATTATACATGTCAATTTTATGGGGGTTACAAAATAATTTCCCCCATCACCCCTACCTGAAAGCAAAACTATATCAATGTGTTTCAAATCGAAATGACAAAGGAATATACCCACAATGATGACAAAAGCCCCTCATTTCCGTTAGATTAACAGAAAGAATTCAAACCATCTGACAGGGACAATTTTTTTATTCACCCATCAAGTTGAGTCATGAATTGCACGGCTTTGATGACGATTTGTCATCCATCCACTCCAACCAGGCTCACAATATTGGTTGTCAACAAAAAGAACGATCTTCGACTTCCTGCAACTTAAGGAAGACTGTTTTACCATCCTACAGTTCAACTCTACTAACTTAGCTCGAAGAGAGCAGACAGTGTATACCAGGGAAGGGTAGCGACTATAACAAGCTATAATGCCAACTAACCAACCCCGCTTAAATCTTCCCACACACATTCATCACAAGGTGTCTTAAGCTCTTATTTAGATGGAGCATTACAAACAATCTGACCAGGACAATATTTCTATTCTTTCAAACAAATTGAGTTATGAACTACACGTCTTTGATGACGGTTTGGCATTGATCAAATTCTCACAATATTGGACTTTTGTATTTAACTGCAGAAATGAATATATGAGTTATTTACTAATTCATACAACTTTAACTCCTTTCCTGTCAGCACATGGGTTATTGGTTAATTTGCTGCATCAAGTTTTGCTTAATTTAAATGTTTTCTTTCATGACGTTAGTGCATTTATGTATATAACCCAATATATAATTTGTAAACATTTATCCACTTAAACAATGACAGCCAGTAAGAGCAGGTTAAACAAATAAAAACACAGATTATGAGAGACAGATTTAGGTTAAGACACGGCTTAAAGATATTCTTAAAATTTCACATTTTATTACAATTGTACAAAACCTGAAAGACAATTGTTCCTCCTGCAACATAGCTTCTTCACTGAAACGCAATTACGTCATCCATACAAAAATCTGTTATTTACAATTGCTCACAAAATATTTAAAAGTTTCTTCTGAATTTAATTCACAACAATATCAATATATCATACTATCACAACACTATAAAAGTAATTTATCCGTGGTTGTTTTTTTTTTTCTATTTTAGACTTTCTACATATAACATACCCAACAAACCCAGTCTTGTTCTGTAATGACTTTGATGGAAAATTAAGTTCATCAGAAATAACATGTCTTAAACACACTGCAGTTTTACACTTGAATCTTACTGACCCCTCATCTTCTTCTGGAAAAAACTCCATGCAATTACTCAGATTTGGCTTTTCATTTATGTTGTAGTTAACTTCATTGATGAAATGTCAGTGAACTGAAATTACATTATTATAAAACCATGCATGGAAAATGGTTGGGATCTTTTCTAAAACCAGGGAAGACAAAGAAAGATGTTTCCAGAGTCAGAGCAGTAGGCAGTATGTCAACCTGATCTCTCATTTGCAGTAATGTGGAGACTTGAATCTGGGATTTCAGATATACTTGTATGAGGAGTGGGTAGGGGATATGGTTGGCTGGTTAAGACAACTGTTGTAGCTGGGGGAACTGGTGTAGCAAGGCGGGTTATCAAGTTCAGAAGGTGATCCAATACTGTTGCTTGATGAGTCATCCATGGAGGGGTCCTGCAAAACAGTACAACTTCAGCAAAAATACATTCCCTGCTAACGATAACACAGGCAAACATAGTTCCAATTTATTTAAATAGTATGTACATATGTAAAGTAAAAGACTCCTATACCCCCTCATTTAAGCACTCAATGACCTTTGTCAGTCTCATTAGTTGCCTATTAGTGACAATCATTTAGGCTGGAGAATTTGTGGGTCCATACGTAAGCGCCTTTTACACATTCATTGCACAAATTTCTAAATGTGTTTACCTGGACTTAAGCAGTCATTATCCTGCTAGCCCCCAAGTATGAAGTCAGTTTAATGTTAAAATTATGCCCACTTTATTTTGATTGGTCAACTCTCTGGAAGCCTTCTCAGGGCAGGGTTGCTATGGTAGAACAGCCAATGAAAACTGCTACACTTGCCTACGTAGACGCTAAAGCTCATCAAAGTCTCACTTTAACTATATTTAGCAGGACAAGTCATTTAGCGTTCTCTGCAGACTCATCTCGGGATTACTCTAACATACGTTTACCATTATCTAAAACTTTGCCAACATTTAATTTGGCCATCCAGAATTGTAACACTAGGTGAATTTTAAAAGTGGGGTCAGCCTAATAAGTAATCTTTAAGTAAAACATTTTTTTTATTCAATAACAGATATCCCTGTATTAAAAGCAGAACTCTAAAAAATGTTTTATAATGACAGAGGCTTTAATTGCTTCTGATTTCTTTATGCCACTTAAACTGAATAACAGAATGTATTTAAAAAAAACATGGTTCTGATGTGAGATACCTTTTGCTGCAGGATGTAGAGAGAAGTTACAGCATTTATTCCATTGTGCTCTGCATTTTTTGGAAATAGGTCATCTGAAGCGAAACATAAAACATTCAGTCATTCACATTTCTCAAAAGGGATTCATTGACATTATAAGAAATTAGCTGATCACTTGGTATAATAACTTTAATCAATGTAGAAGTAAATTCAGTATGACTATACTACACCTGCATGCTTGATTGGTGAGTGATGACAGTGATCATAGAGCCTAGGGAGAGGCTTTCTTTGTGGAGGTTTTGTCCTGTTAAAGGTAATCATTGAATAGTTATAAGGTATTTTGTTGCACCCTGGACCTGCCTGTTTTAAATTGTAATTAGTTTGTTTAGTTTTCATTTTAAAGCCTTAGCAACTCTTACTTTTTGGATGGTGTCCAACAGGCACATACTGTTACCAAGGTGATGAGAACAAAGATGCCGCCAGTGGACAGGATGATGTAGAGGGAACTTCTTCCTAGTAGAATATGCAAAATGAAGAGTAATTCAACAGTAAATGAGAAAATTAATTCATTTGAATCTTTTTTTGTACATTTTTAGGGTACAACTACTTTCAGCGATGTTTCTGATTCGACTTCTCCTGTCCAGACTGAATTGTCTAAACATTTTGTTATAGACTTTCATCAACATTTTCTTTGCATATATCTAAGGTGATCCAAAGAATACATTTGACCAGCTAAGGTTAAATGGTGAATAGGTCACAGGTCACACCTACCCATTCACACACTGATGGCAGAGGTTGTTATGTAAAGTAACACTGCTGACAAAGCAGCGAGAGCAATTTGGGGCTAAGTGTCTTGCTTAAGGACACATGGGGCTGCAGGACCTGAGGATTGAACCCCTTACCTTCTGGTTGAGAGACAACCGACTCTACCACTGAACCACAGCTGCCACTAAACATTCTGAATGTTCTTCTTGATGCACCTGCAGTTGTTTGTAAAGACATTAAATATTGTAATGTTTGTAATCCTCTGAGCAAAAAAACCTTTACTATTCTTTGGACATTAATGAAATCTGGCATATATAGCCCAGGATGCTGGCATAGCTCAGTTGGCAGAGCAGATGTCTCATATATAGATGTTACAGTCCTCAATACACTGACTGCTGGTTCAACTCAGATGGGGCCAATTGGCGCATGATATCCCCAAGTCTCTCTCCCCATAGTTCCTCTTATCTTTCCCTAGCAAATAAAAGCAAAAATGGCCAAAAGAATAGTCTATTTTCATAAAGCCATGTTTCTTTTTTTAAGTTATCATCGAATTAGCATTGTTCTTCTGGGCACAGAGATTTTGACTTTCAGATATCTTTCAATGCTTAATAGAATCTGAAAATATAAATATAATATTAAATTGATTAAGTAAAATATATTGTCTCGTGCTTGGATAGGCTTTTTGTGTTTCCCTTATGCCACGAAGCAAAGAATTACAGTATCACTTACTGTAGACAGTAAGCCGTAGAGGCAGGCTGGTCATATTGCCAACAGGATTCTCCACTGCGCAGGTATAAATGTCATCGTCTGCCATCAACACCCGTGTGATGGTCAAGAGCTTCTGATCAGGTGATAACAGGAATCTCGTCACATTGGAGAGTGGCTTTCCCCCTTTGAACCACCTGTATGTCGTCCTGGTTCCATTGTCATGGGAGCAGTTGAGGATGACGTTTTGGCTGAGCTCCAGTACTGAAGAACTCTCCATGTGGATGTAGGGCCTAGATATAGCCTCTGAGTAAAGGAGACAGTCGACAGAATTATTTTAGCATATATATGCTATTCTTCCACCAACTCAACTGTAGTTCCACAATTTCACTGAAACTAGACTGTTGGTAAGCAGATTGCTTGGTCAGAACTAATTGTTGTGTAACGAGTAATAATCTGAGAAGTTTCCCATTCTGACAAAATGTTTTTGCTCTATAACAATATATTTCCACATTCACAAAGTAACTTATCATGTAGTCATTAGACATGTTTTCTTGTTAGAAAAATACTATTATCATGTTATAATGTTTAATGTTTCAAGATATAACAAGAAAGTTCAGCTTCTGGTGGAGACTACCTACCTGTGATATATTTACCTGCAATGTTGAATGGCATTAGCATGCAAAAACATCTTGCTATCGCGTCAAAGTATCCAATTAAAGGGTGAAAAACAACTGTTAAAACCAGTATACACCATTGTATAACATGATACTGATGTGTTTTCCTTTTTTTGCATGGCAGCAATATGCTTCTGTACACTATATGTGGTGAGACATTATGTTATTATAACTTCACAGTTTTAGTTGGACTTGCATCTTAGACATACAGAGAAGCATGTTGTCATTGAAATTGGTTCAGACAAAAGATGCATCGATGTGATAGTACCTTTTAATTCATTTTAAGATCAAACAATAACATTTGTAGTCCTACCATCCACAGTGAGAGTGATGCTGCCCTCTCCTGTAAAGGTATCATCTGTGATGGAGATCTCCACATCATAAGTTCCGTCATCAAAGAGTCGGAGGTTGTGGAGGAGCAGAGTCCCGTTCTCAAACACAAGGATGCGGTCACGATACTCAGGCCTCAGGGTCCCGATGATGTCCGTTCCAATGGACTGGACAACAGTGACAGATTTTTCCCTTCTGAGTTGCCACTTGATGACCGGCAGGTCGAGACTGAAACTGTTGTAGCGGACGGATAGTAGGGCCTCCCCTCCTACTGTTCCTCTAATGAGAGTGTTGGGGATGGTCATATTTACTGCCAGCACCCCACCTGCAGAATTGATAAAAGAGTTGAAGAAGAAAAACAGGGGAATTCAAAAGTCTGCAGTATTAGTGTTTGTGTATTTATAGCCACCTCTATTTGATCCTCATTTTACTATAAGCTGATCCACCAGCTGAACTTTCACATTTTGCACGTGACTCAAGAAGAAAACATCACTTCCTGCAAAATGCCCTCACTTCTGTGCATGGCATTTTTTTGTGTTTTGTAAAAATGCATTGAGAGATACAGATAGTCATGTGAAGGCTAGTGTATAGACAGCACGCCCCATCACTGGTTTATACATGAGCCAGTTTGCATGGTACATTCAAATAACCATAGTTACAGCTGTCAGTCCTTCGGATGGGCCAGCATGAGCCAACAAAAGCTGGGATTGTCTGTTCAAATTTCCTTCTTGGCAGTTCATGAAAAGAGCACTGGGGGCAATCCAGATGCCATGCTTGCTTTGCAGAAACAGAACAGCTCAGTGACTCTGCTGCTATCCGCAACCGGAGCAGGACAATGATGAGACACAGCTGAAATAACTAAACATCTGACAACACTGATTCTGGTACAGGCTGTAGGCACAATTACTGTATTACTCACAAAGGGCGTCCACAAGACTGTAAAAGCACCCACACAGTCCAACACCCCAACAACAAATACCTCCTTTGTGATGTAATGTCCAGTCAGAGCTTTGCCAGTTTAACCCTGCATAATTGGTGGTAATATTGAACATTTTAATATAATATGCATAGAACTACAAAACACAGACGGTATTATGAAAACCTGGAACTTTTCTTTTGAAATTTATATGAAGTATGCATCTTTAAATCAAAACCATATTTGCATTGTTGTTCCCATTTTCTTCTGACCCTTTGTATGCATTTTCAAAGTCCAGACACAGATCTACTGTAGATTATATTCTATTAAAAATGTGATCTTTTTTCATCACGGAGGTTGCTGCATGAGGTTTTTTTTTTCCTAAAGGGTTTTCCCAAAATCATTTTTTTTTAAATCTGAGATTTAAAAAATATTCTTCAATAATACTGGACCAAAAAAAAAAAAAATCAAGCAAAAACAACTTGTTTATTTGCTGTTATTTGCATATAAAAACTATCAACTAAAGTTTTACAAAGCCATTCAGGGGCATGGCATAAACAAGCAGTGAAACATCAGACCACTGTTTGGAAAAACAATGCAATCTATTTATACGAGAAAATGTCAAAGTAGAGGGTTTTACATACCTGAATTGAAGAAAATTACAAAAATAAGCAAAATAATCTTGGAAAATAGTTTGGCTTTTAAGGGAGCCTCCGTCTCTGCCTTCATCTTGGGTCTCAAGCTTTGTTTTCCTCCCAGACAACCAGCATGATTTGCAACTGGGCAGGACGGAGAACACAGTCAGTCATTCAGACTCAGCTGGGACTGAGTACATGTTGTTCTCGAAAGCCAATATAACAGGACAAAAGTGTGTGTGTCTAGATGTCCCTTTTGTACATGTAGAGTTATCTTTATGGTAATTTTGCAACAATTATTACATAAGTGTGACAAGTTATCAATCAGTAAGTTTAAAAATTAGTTGTCATTGTGTCTTAAAGGGAAATTTGCAGCCAGGATCATCACAAAAACAATATAACACAAGTGGAAGATTTTAATTTATAGTTAAGTATGAATCATTCAAAAAGTATTCCAAGATATTTCAAATAATATAATGAATCATGGAGAATTGGCAACCATGGCAACTTCATAACAACTAACTTTCAAATTCTGGAACACAGTATTATGATGTCATACATTCAGACATCAGAGGTTCAAAGGCGCTTTGGAACATTCCATGTTCAGGTCACCAAACCTTTACAGTCACTCCAGATAGACTAACTCCATTAGTTAACAAGTGTTTAATTATCATTCACTCGCTAATCTGAAGTTTATCATTTTAAATTAATTCAATACATCATCATGAAAAACGACTCGGCTCAGAAGATGAAGGCTCCTCAATCTCCAGCCCCAAGGAGAGATCAACAGGTTGTAGCTTCTGCAATGGATGGCTCACCTAAGCCAACTAAAAGGAAGGCCAGTCCTGACACCAAGGCCCCCAGAAAGAGGACAAAGTACTCTGATACTGAGTCCCAAAACAAAAAGGAGGAGGATTTGAGGGTGAAGGTGTTGAAGAGGAAAGTCCTAGAATATGGAGAGAGACCCTCAGAGACAGTGACGAAGAAGAGGAAGGGATTTGAAGTTAGCCAGGAAGACCTGGAGTCAGCATCCACCTCCACAGACACGGACAGCAGCAGTAATGTTGCTTTCAATGATGTTAGCAAGAAGGGCCGCAAAAGAAAGTTCAATGCTGACGGAGAAGGGCCGAGCAAAAAGAAGAGGACTTTGACAAAACCAGAAAGCACAGAGGATTTGTCAGCTTTATTCCAAACCAAGTACAAGCAAGGGGAAAAGCTTGGCGCAGGAGGCTGTGGATCTGTGTTTGCTGGCTTTCGTAAAGCAGATAATGTACCAGTAAGTGTTACACACAAACATACACAAATTCACACTTAAATACACACACACATTCACACATAAATACCGACATAAAATATGATCAGGAAGTGGTAACAACTTTTTCCTTCTTTTTTTTTGCCTTATAGGTCGCGATCAAGCACATCCCGAAGGACAACGTTGTCTGCAAACACACGGTAAGTGAATTCTTCTTAAGATCCTTGATTTTAATAACTGCACTAACATAATGAATTCATTATGAATGTATTATGGTTATCAAAGACTCTATGGAGCTTCTCTTTCCTAACCCTTCTTTTTTTTATGATATTTCAGGATCAGAGTGGGAACCAGGTTTCAATTGAAGTGGCGGTAATGAAGAAGCTTGCGTCTGGAACACCTGGATCAGTGGGGACGTCAGCATCCGTGTCACTACTGGACTGGTACGATCTAGACGAGGAGCTGATACTGGTTCTGGAGAGACCAGTCCCCTCTAAAGATCTCTTAAATTACACCCGGGACAAAGGAGGGGCCCTACAGGAAGAGGAGGCAAAGGTAAGTTTGAAGATCCTTGTTGTTGAACAAATGTTTTTGTTCCACTGCGGGAACTCAACCTGCAGTGGAACAAACTCAAAACCTGCACTGACCTCTGTAGCAACTTTGCAAATAGCAAAAGTGTTGCTTTTGTTCGGTTGCCTCAATATAAGGACACATTTATTACTCCATGTATCATGTATATATGCCTAACCCCTCTCTTTCTTTGTCTCTCTCTCTCTCTCTCTCTGACAGACCATACTGACACAGCTTGTGGATGCAGCAAAAGAATTGGAGGATAAGATGATCTTTCACCGTGACATCAAGGTGGAAAATATCCTCATCGAGTCTGGATCTAATGTTCCAGGTGTTCGACTCATCGACTTTGGACTGAGCTGTTTTGTCAAAGAAGGATCCTTCTTTCGCATCTTCTATGGTAAGATGTCTAGCTCTTACGCATGCTCTTCTTTGAATTACCTTTCTGTTACTCTGATATTCTAAACAAAGTATTGCCTCTTCTTCAACCTAACGTTTCTGTTTTTATTTTGTAGGAACTTCTGCTCACGTGCCTCCAGAGTGGTATGAACGTTGCACTTACAAGGCAGGCCCCACTACAGTGTGGCAGCTTGGTGTAGTCCTGTATGACTGTCTACACAAAAGGGCAGCGTTCGAGACCAACAGGTTCCTGGGAAAAAGGCTGAGAATCAGCAAAAGACTTTCTGAAGGCAAGTAAAGCATACTCATGCTAACATGTCATAAGAACTTAACACTAAATCTGCTCCTAATAGTTCATATTGTGATTGTCAGTGAAGCTGTCATCTTCATCTGTATTTTCCATCTTTCTCTACAGATTGCCAGGATTTCCTACGGACGTGTTTGACCAAGGCCCCAGAGGAGCGCCCAACGTTGGAGGAACTGAAGCTTCACCCTTGGTTAAGATAAACCATCTCACACACACGCACACACATATACACTAACTCAACTCATCATTCATTTGGACTTAATTTCCCTATTGCAATTTCAATAGGATTCTAATAAGCTAATCTAAAAATGTCCAAATGGTGAAGTTAGTTTTAATCTTAATAGCTTAAATTGACCTTTTTCTAAACTTCTCAACTATAATTTGAATTGGCATCACTTAAAAGTAACAAAATAGAAAACAATTGTCAAGGTTCTTCAAAAAACAAAGCGGAGGACTCGTGCAGAAAACAAACTATTCCTTTTAAACAAAAAGTCAGAGGGCAAACAAAAAACATACTTTTTAACAAAAGGAGCTACGAGGAAAAAACTGGTAAGCACAGGGAGGAGACACTGGGAAACACTGACATCCAAACATCCAACAACTAACAACACCAACATACAACAACAGACCAAATCATGACAACAATACAGTTCAGCAGGCTTTTAAGATAAAAGGAAGATTTAATTAACTTAGAAATAATAATTACAACAATTTAAAAGCGATGGCCAATTAATCATAAATCATTGAGAATAGTTGAGAAGTGAATTAGTTGGGATATTAACGTTATTATTACACCCTAACTATCTTATCAGGTCGTAATGATGAGAATAATGAGAAAAAAAAAACATAAATGTAGAACATAAAATACAACATAAAATGAAGAGAAACTAAAAATAACAAAATGAACAAAAACAACAACAGCAGCACCTTCCTGTAGCACCCCAGCCATCCGTGGAGAGGGGATCTCTCTTTGAAATGCCTTTCCTGAGGTTTCTTCCCATTTTAATTTTTTCTTCATCGAGAGCTTGGGCTGGGTCAGGAGCTACTGCTGTTTCTATAACACTTAAGAGCCTGCTTTGCACTTCTATAATTTTAAACAATCACAAGATATGTGTAATAAACAATAAATAAAATGTTCAAATAAATTAAAAAATAAATCCATGAATTCACCTCTGGTTAATTTCTTGTTACTGCATCTTCTGCAGCTTCTTCTGTTTTTTTGGAAGACAGCTTAAGTCACTCATTGCTTTGTGTGACTTAATTTACTGAATTTTTTTTTTTTCTGTATTTCTACATTTACTAATTTCTTTATTTAAATATTTGCACATGTATTTATTTCTTTGTGTGTTTATTTCCATTTTGTCTATATTTATTTATTTTTGTATTTCTGTGTACAGGTTGTAAAAGGGAAAGCACTAAGTTAAATTGAGGACGTGGATCTCAACTTCATTCTGAAGCAGGACTGGTCAGCTTGCTTTTGGATACATGTGAACTTCACATCACATGTATCCACAAGCGGAGACTTTTTAGAATTTAAGAATTAGAAGCATGACTTCATATCTGTTTGTAGAAAATAAAGGGAACATGAGGCGAGAGCAGACAAAAGAGAAAAATAGCAGACAATTCATGCCTTGTTCTCCAAATCTGGTCATTAAAAAAGGGGAATATGCAAGTAAGCATGTCGGCATGTGTTCAGTTTCATACATCACTCTCACCTCTGTGAGCGAGTAGGTTAGCTAGTCAGCTAATGAGCTTACAATATTAACATTCAAATCATCAGCCACCATGGGGTTTTGATCCAGTGAGCTCAGGATATTTGTTTCAGGTTAAAGTCTTTGTAACTGAGAGCTGGGGTCTCACAATAGTATATATACTATATATATATATATATATATATATATATATAATAGTCGCACAATAGAGGGTATACATTGACGTCACTTGTCGTCCTGACCACGCCCCCTCAGTGGGTCGGCGTGACAAAACATTCAAAGATACCGCTGCCTTCAGTAGGTGACCTGACGATAACAGAAGTACAACAGACGAAAATCTGTTTAAATTTAGGACATCTACAGTCGTAAGATCCTTACTGTTTCCTAAGACACATTGGACCATGGACATTTACATTTGGGCTCAGTCCCATTTCACCACTTAACCCTACCACTTAGCCTTACCCCTTCGTTTTGCACGTTCACGTGTAGGGGTAGGGTGTCCCAATTCTTGTTGCAGCGGAGGGATAGGGTGAAGTGTTAGGGCTACTTGGCCCTTTAAAACGAGATTCCTCGGAGGCGCACTCCAAACAGAGTCATTTCCCATAATGCACTGCGCATCATCAACGGCAAAATGACAATGACAAAAGAGACGCACAAATGTACGTTTTTCCTTCGTTTATGAGATCTGAAAATTATGACATTAACATCATCTTAGTTAAATAATGTTCCAATGTACTATGGTCGTTTCTTTAGAAAAGAAGGGACAAAAATTGTTCATAGTATGCGGGTGTCTCGATCACTATCTAGCTAGCTCCGCTCAGCTGACTAACATTACATTGTTGCATCTTAGTTTGTGCATGACAGTTCAGTATTTTGATCCATTCCCATGGCAAAACCCTCCAAGTTTGAAGTTATATGATGCCCGAAATGTAACTGAAGCTTTTCTGCATTTATTACTGCCATTTAGCAGTAGGCTACAGACGAGCCGAGAGTGTCTAACGTTAGCCTGTGAACCGTTATGAACTCTTTATGCTTTCTATTTGTTTGATCGGTTGAATACCATCATTACCATAGTAGGGTTACGGTCTGAACAATGTTACAAAGATATATTGTTTCCATCATTCCAGGGACTCCTCAGCAAACCAGACAGCTCATAAGGTTTCGGTCTGCAAATGAGCAACGTTTCCTGAGGTCGAAGAGCGCTGCTAGACCACTTTGGGAGTGAGTCATTTGTTTTAAAATGTGTTTAAATGCATACAAACGTCTGTGTTGTGTTTATATTGTTTGATTCTGCTAACATAACTCTGTATTTTGTTATGATGCAGGACGTTGATCAAAGAACTGGGCATTGATGGCAAGAACACACCCTAACAGGTGTCAAAGAAGTGGGAAAACCTCAAGAAAAAGTACAATGTAAGCAGAACAACAAGTAGTGCAAAAGATGCTGAAACATACATGAGTAAACCATGTAATCATGGAACGCACAGGTGTATTCACACGAGTGGGATAGTTTCTACAATAGTTACATGCAGGGTGCATTGATTTTCACATGATGGAGATAACATGTAAATAGTTAAGTGTGTGACCATAAAATATGGATAAATAATCTTATAAACAATCACAGTGGGTGTTTTTGTTACAGATTTTTGCACGGTGATAGTAACAACAATGTGTGCATATGTTTGTGTTCATTGCAGGAGCTAAAAACCCCAAGAACAGGACCAGGAACGGATGCGGGCGAGGTAACGGCTGCCAATATACCAAAAGATTCTGAGTATAAATAGCCTTTTATAAACACACCACCAATTCCCGATTCACACTTAAAAGTAATTTTCCAGTCAGATATTTGATCATGAAATGTTTTATCATGAAAAATGCCAAATAAACTCCACAAATTGATTCAAACATTTTCAATCATCTTTATGGGGCCTGCACATGGCCGGAGACCAGGGCAGCCAGTCTGTCCCTTGTAGCACTCCCAGAGCTTTCATTGTTCACCAGTGGCTCACAAGGAGGTTGGGGGTCAAGGAAGTCCTGTGCAACATCAGCATCTGGCTCTGGAATGTCCCCGTTATCCAGACACACATTGTGGAGTAAGGCACAGGACACAATAACAAGGGGTGCAAATGTGTGTTGAACCTCCAAGGCATAGTGTAGACCTGCATCTTGTCTTCATCATTCCAAAAGCCCGTTCAATCACGCTGCGGCCTTTCGAATGGTAAAGAATAAGCGACCCTGTATTTGGCCATTGATCGGCTCCTTGTAAGGTGTGATCAACGTAATGGGTGTGTCCAAACAGGGATAGTCACCATCGCCAAGAAGGATGTAGCCTGTGGGAGGGTACCGTAATAGCGTAGTATTCTTTGTAAGAGGAATTTGTAGAGGGGGTTTAATTCTGATATGGCTACAATCTATTGCACCCACAACGTTGCTGAATGCAGGGCTTCCTGATAGTTGAGCAAATCCCTGACCAACAGCATGAAGCTCTCCTGCCTGTGGGAAAAAGATAGCTCGCTTCAAATTCATGTTCAAATGTTTTGTTCAAATTTGTGGATTACACGGTGAATGGTTGATTTTGGTACACTGAAGACCCTCGATACAACTCTGTACGATAGTCCATGAGCAAGCCAATAGACATAGATGAGGACCTCCAGCTCGTTACCCCAGCCATGGTCCTGTTCCCTCCGTAGTAGCCTCTGCAGACCATGCATGGCGCTTCTGTTGAACCGAAAGTCCTGCTTCAGCTCAGCCTCTACGTTGAACCACAGACGCAGGATGGGTATGTTGTGGTTAAAGTATAACTGTATGACCTGGGATGACCAGTTTGGAGATGAAAATATATTAACATCATTAGTCTGAATTGGAAGTGCTTTTACTAGTGAATCTCCCCTAACAACACACTTATTTCACAAAGACGTTAATAACTACATACAATACAGTCCGTTACTACAACACAACCAAACCTGCGTACAATCATCACACACATCAATACTGTCAACATACATTTGTTGTACATTACGTTTGTATCACAAACACAGACGTATGTCCAATGTTAATGTTTATCCTATATCATTTTACGCACTAACGTTTGTCTAACGGTTCACAGCTAGCATGTTGTGTAGCTATGCTAACAACAATGACAGCTATTTGCGGTTTATCCTAATTAAAGTTTACAAAGTTTATCGAACATACCATAAACTGATCCACCGCCGCGGCCAGGTGTCGTAGACATCTTCTCCTCATCCGATTTCTCCGAGATGTTGCTGACAAATTCATGAAGTTACCCATAGCCCACGTAAGGGACAGTAACACAGCTAACGTCGGCATTTTCGGGAAAGACCAGTTACTTCGTTGCGTGTTATTAAGTCACTGGAGTCGACAACTACTGATGAAGTATGAGGCTCTGGAAGGGTTGTCCCATTTCGTAGGGGAAGGATTTTACCACTAGCCCTTGCAGCTCTGTTCTAAGGGGTTCAGTGGCACTCCAAAACGAGTGGTAGGGCTAAGTGGTGAAATGGGACTGAGCCTTGGTCTCTGTTTCCACCACACAACAGAGGAATGTAGTCTACATGTACCCTGGCGTTCTTTGAGTTTAAAGGGATACTTCACTCGTTGAAACATGAATCTGTATTGACATTGGGTCATACATGTAGTAGAAATGTGAAATAATTTTTGAAGTTGGTGCCTTCTTGGCCAAGAAAAGACAGAAAGTGTCTTTTTGGCTCATGCTGATGAAAGACACCAAATCCCAGAATGCACAGCATCTGTCATTCAAATCCTGAGCCAATTGGATGCAGTCTGCAGCCAACAGGCTTCGACCCCCATTCCCCAGGTGCACTAATCACCTGATTGAAACCAATCAAGGAGTCAGTCAGAAAGCAGCAGGACACAGTCATTCCTAAAACGGTCAAGGAGAACTTCTGAAAGAAAAACACTGTGCACTTTTCAACCCTGGACAACCCTGCTGCTGCTGAGGAGGAATGTGTCAGGACTGAACACTGGTCAGGCCATATTGCCGGAGCAAAGAAGATGGCGAGCTAAAGAAGCAACTTCAAGGGACTCAAGATTCCCTCAAAAGGCAGGCCTCAAGCCTGGCTATCTGGTTAAATGATGTGGTAGGATTTCCCCTACCTAAATAAACATTTGAATTCGTTGGACATCTGCACACACAAAACAAATAACTGCAGTACGTGTAATGTGTTTTGGTGCATTGATTTATACGAATAGAATTGGGAATATTTAGCATATGTTGTATGGAGGGTAAAAGGTGCCCTTAAGAATCTGTTAATGGAAGGCCTATTTTCTTTTATTTAAATTGTGGGATTTTCCTTGATTAAGTTAAGTGTTTTTTGTTATTTGTTAAAAAATTAACTTTGAAATAAAAAAACTGGTTATCAACATTCTGTGTCATGTGTTTAATTAATTCTCCACCAACTCCAAGAGTCTAACCTATATTAGCCTGGTACACCTTAATTTGTTACATCTTGTTTTTGTGATAACTTATTATTTATAAATACATATTTTAGTTAAAGTAAATTTTGTATCCTGAGTGTTACGTGGTACTTACTAGCTGATTTAAAGCCACTAACTGCTCATCCAGTACGAGCTTTCTGCCACTCACTTTCTCGAAGTGCAGTGACTCTGACCACAGCGTCATCATGTGCTTACCCATCTATATGAATCCTAAAACTGCCATTCCCCTGGTGAGGTCATAATTTATTCATGCGAATATCCTACTAAAAATGAAGTGAGTGAAACTGGCGTACACAACCTCCCATGCAAAGTTTGTGATCTTTACTAAAAACCTAAATGTAAAATGTACACACCAGTTAGCAAACTCTGACCCATGCCATGTATGTATTTTTATATATATATATATATATATATAAATGAGACCCCTGCTGACTTCATAATTCATCAATGTGTGTACAAAAAATGAATTAATGTGTAATTTATCATTTAAAAATGGGAAAGTGTTACATCTGATCTCTATACCAGGAGCCTGTTCCTATGGCTGTCTGATCCCGACTATTTAAAAAAAACACAGAAACAATCAAGTTTTCAAAAGAATCAACGGAAACATAAATATGCTTGTATCATTGCAATAAAATGACAATGTCCCCTGTTTTGTACAGAGGGTCTGACTGGACCGGTAATAAGAGCATCACAGTCTGGCTTTCTGCGTCGTGAAATACATAATTTGGGTGTCCTAACAGAATTTTTGCCAAGTGGGCACATTTCTGTCTGTTCAGTGTTTAATAGCTAGGTTCACAATTTTACAAGTCTGCCTTAAAACAACGTTCAGCTGCCTCAATATACATTCAAAATGTTAAGATTTCTGATGTAAAAAAATAATAATAATAATGAATTCACAACATTTTATGCGGTTTTCCACAAGTGTTAGTTCAATTCAATTGTGCATGCTTCAATAGTGCATGCTTTACTTGGAGAGGAATCTGAATTATTATTTTTTAAGCTTTTGTGGCTGTGCTGATGTTCTATCCACTGATTTCGAAACTTACTGATTTCCACTGGATAGCAAGCCTCGTGTTAACATATTAGCAGCACATTTTGTTCAAATGAACAGTGCACCACATTAAGACATGAAATTGTATATGCATCTTACAGGGAGATATTTTGACCTCATAATCAACAAAGTTGCCAATTTTAGCCACAGTATTCATGCACTTATCCTCTCTGGTATGTATTAATTACACATGTCATCATCCAGTTTACTTTGCATTTTTTGCTGCTCATGGTAGGAAATACCTGAACTTATTAGTGTTTTTTCTTCTTGTTATTGCTACTATTTATTTATTTTTATTTTTGGGCTTTTTGTGTCTTTAATGGAGAAATAGGACAGTGGCTAGAGATGGGAATCAGGTAGAGAAAGAGTGGGGAATGAGATGCGGGAAAGGAGCCACAGGCTGGATTCAAACCTGGGCCGCCCGCTTGAAGGACCAAAGCCTCCATACATGGGTGCACTAACCACTGCGCTACCAGCGCCCATGCTACTATTTTTTAATATAAATCTGTATATTTTTAAACATGTCTATTGTTGCTACTGTGTACAGTATATTTTTATATAACTTGTGTTTTTATTTTTTGTGTCTGTGTGCTGTTCTATCCTTTGGTGCTTCCTGCTGCTGGAATATCTAATATCAATTTATCTATCTTTTTTAAATTGTTGGATTTGTGGATAATAATAACCTTTTACAATATGAGCTATAGGCTCATAGGATCAAACAGGTACATTTCAGTTACAATCTTCACAACATAATAAAAAGAGCAGAAGACAGTTTGCATATTTGTTGGAGAATGAAACTTATAATAATGTTGAAATATATGTTGTTCTTCTTTTGGCTGTACCCTCTTTTAATACCTGAAACTCCTTCATCAATGAATAAATAAACTCATCTTGCTCCAGAAATGGATGCCTGTCACTTTAAGGCTCTGCATCCTCACCAACCAACCACCAATTAGAGAATGAGCTGAGTTGCTGAGCAACAGAACCCAAACAACATGTGCTCTTTGGAACTCAGAGAGGCAAAAATACAATGTTTTCTCCGACAGGTCCAGTTAATAATATTGTTAATCTGATCTTGATATTTGGTTTTAGTTAACTGTTTGTTGTTTCTTCCTGTGATGGCTGAAATCATGATGTGTGAGCCTCTGGAGCTCTACAATCTTCTCAACCAACGCAGCTGTTGTGTTTCAAGGCTGGCAGAGATCAACTACCTCTGTTTGATTGGTAAGAGATTTGATTCAGCTCAGTAATACTAATTATTAGGTTGGGCTGTTTATGTGACCACTTCCTAAAGGTTTGATTTGATCTTCTTAATAATTCAAATGAACTTTGTTATGTTTGTGTCTATTTTTTCAAGATGCTCGTGAAGCCCCAGATTACCAAACAAGCCACATCCCAACAGCTCGAAATGCCAAAGTGGTACGGATATTACTGGTTCAACAGTTTTGTTATAGATAGATATGTAAGAATCAATAAAATACTTTTCAGTTCAGTTGTAGGTACATTAGAACCAAAAAGACAACTAGAAAATGGAGCAATTGTTCATTTCAGAAGCAAGGGGAAATAAATGAAGAAACAAAAACAGCAGCGTTTTGGAGTTAAAATTTGTAAAGTTTCACAAGATGCAGCATTAATGATGTAGCGGTATACACAATAAATCTATTCCAGATATATTCGGAAATTGGCTTTAACCGTTTTACATTTTGAAGCTAGATTACATGTGTCGTACACTCTGAATAAAAGTATCAAGACGGGGAGAGATTGTATTTACAATTTCTGATGCAATGTAAACAATCCGACAAAAAGTTCTGTTTGAAGCAGGTCATTTACCTCCTCTATACCCTTAATAAAGTTTATCTTCTTATACCTCCGTTTGTGAGATTATTTTGTGCGTCAATAATGAAATCTTTGATACTTCTTTACAGGATTCAGATACATTTCTTCTGCCAGTGGCTGTGGAGGTGGACAGTATGCAGCATGTAGTAGTCTATGACGGCAGAACGAGCTGTTTAGAGGAGCAAGGTAATCAGTGAAAGTGATGCACAGGAAATGTTGCAAAATGTTGACTGGTACAAACTATACATTTCAAAATGCTGCAAAAACAGAAGTGGTATAGAGAAACAAACCTCTCTGAGCATCTCTATCTTCCTCTGCATTACACCATGATAGTTTTCAACATGCAATGCTTTAAACATGCATTTTAACCAATGAAGGAAGTTCACCAGAGTGTTTCTGTGTTTGCTTTGCAGGCAGGGCAGTTGACTGTGCACGGGCCTTTGCTCAAGCAAGCCTCTATCCAGTCAAGATCTTAAGAGGCGGCTTTGAGAGGTTCTCAGCTCTGTACACTTTTCTAAGGACTGAGAAAATCCTCTACACCATCTCGGTAAGACGAACACACCTGACCTGCTCTCAATAATACGTCTATGAAGATGAAACATCCAGGAGATATATGTCCTAACAGAGCCTCAGTCGTACCGTTACACGTTCTCCTCTTTTGGGCTGATGTCCAGCTGAGACTTTATACTATTGTAATGTTAACTGTTTTTGATTTACATTTATTTTCTCTTCATTTTTCCATCCTTGTATTTTTTCATCATAGCTCTATCTTTCTGTCAACACTCTTGATTCAGCCTTGACATTCTTTAAATTAGCTGTGTGTCTATCTCTTTCTAGCGTCCTGAAAGTGTTCCTGGCACTGTGTCCAACATTGGGTCAAATTACTTTTATTAGTGTAAACAGACTTTTCCAATCAAGCTAATTCTGTTTCTGATGTTGAATAACCACATCGCCAATCTACACCCACATGCCACATCTTGTGTACACTAAACCCTTTTTAATGCTATTAGAACGGCATTCAATCATTACCTGCACAGTTAAGATTGCAAATTTCAAATAGGAAATTGGTCTATTTATAGCAGAGCTCCCCTATTGGTTTGCAGATTGTGGAGAAGTTCATGAATGATACATTTATGTTAAAAGTGATAATTTTAACAGTCTTTAACACACATTTGAACATGCAATAGTTAACATTCTGCTGTCATTGACATTTCAATTTAGTGTTAAATCATCAAAGCTGATACCTCTTTTCTAGGTTTTGTATTTATTAGAATATCACAGCCCCAGTGACGTGCAGTTATCCAGAGATTTTATACATTCTGGTCCATATGACATCCTTGTTCTGAGTTGTGAGTTGAGTCAAATGAATGCTGATGACAGTGACGTTTCTGGACTATCTCAGGAGCTGGAAAACCTGAAGGCTTATCCAGTGGAGATAATAGCAGGACTGCTGTATATGGGCGACCAGAATCAAAGCATGGACTCCATTATCCTAAAAAACCTGAAGATCAGCGCTGTCGTCAGTTTCTCAGAGAGTGTGGAGTAAGGCAGGACTGATTCTTTTGTAACATCAACAGAGGAATTTCAGGAAATCAAACCCCCTGTTGGTGGAATCTGTTCATAAGTTGATTTTAACTCTTTTAGATCTACATCCATAAAGGGGAACCACACCATCCTAACCGTCCCTGCTGTCGACTCAGTGGCGTTTGATTTGTATTCAAGTTTTGAAAGGATTTGTAGTTTCATCGGTAAGTCATGACCATACTTAACAAATAAAAGAGAAAGTCAGTGTTTTGGGTGCACCTTAGTTTTACAATTGATGAGAATTAAATGAGGCATTCAGAAAAATACAAACAGAAATATCTCTGAATTTCACTCTTAGTTTGTTGCTAAGCTTCATAATGCAGAGATTTTGTTCATTGAAAAAGCATTTTCTCTTGTGTTTTCAGATTCGAACATCAACATTGGCTTGCCTGTCCTGATCGTTTCAGAGCATGGCAGAAGCCGCTGCAGTGCTGCAACCATCGCCTTTCTCATGCACCACCACAAATACACACTACAGGCAAGTAGGGTTCATTCAAGCAGTGACCTCAAGTGTTGAAAAATGAAGACAATGTGGAAATGCAAAATGTGTCATTGAGGCTAACTGCAAGAACCCCAGAAGTCCCATATTAAAATGCCCATGTTGACATCAGAAATTAACATGTTCACAACGAGGTATAAAAAACAAATTTGGTGTGAATAGATCATGTCTTCATGGTTCACGCTGTACAAGTGGGGATTTTTTTTGTAACTCACCTGTCTTGTTTACATTAAGGCTAAAAGTTCTGCATACATTTGCAGAAGTAGGGTCAGGCTAAGTTGTCAGGAAAGAGTGTAACTGTTGGCTGGGGGGGCTTCGAGCCTGCCTTATCTCCGCCTCTTTGCCTGTTGCTAGGTTGACAGATAGTAAGTTTTAGACCACAATTCCAATATGGTGACCACCAACGTCGGGCTTCAAAATGCCACTTCAGAGACCATTCGGTGAAGTCACCGAGACTACGTCCATGTTTTATACAGTGTATGGGGTCAATTCAGTTTGGTTGCAGTGCTATACACATTGTGGCTCTACTAGTTCAAATATGATCTTAAGGCTGTAACAAATATCGGGTAAAAAGTTTTCATCTTGAGAGACATACTGGAACTTCATTTTAAAAAATATTTTTTAAGCCACATACATGCAATCGAGGTGCAAAAATGACAATATGTGCTACAGTACATCCCAAACTAGATCTAACCACAAATAAGCTATGATATCAGTCCTCCCCGATGTGTCTCCTCAAATCTCAAACTATCAGGTTATGTACTTGTGTGAGCTTAATATTGATAATTTAAAGAAAATGTGCAAATAAGACGTGAAATACTACATTCAAAAGTTCACAATTCCTTTCATTTGACTTTTTACAGGAGGCCTGGAGGTACATGTGCAAATGTAAACCCACCATGAGGCCCAACACGGGGTTTCTACAGCAGCTGTCTGACTGGGAGCTTCACACCGTGGGCACAAAAGTGACTGACGCCTCTGAACCTTGGTTTTAACAAAGGAAGCTACAGCTTTGACAACAGTGTGACTCTATTCACTTTCAGCAATAAAGACTGCTGATTGTGTTACTCTGCACTCACTCAAGTAAGCAGTGGGGTTGTCATAATAGAACTAACTCTGCTATGATAGTCATAATCAATTGATAGCCTATCGATAAATATTTCTATTTCTATGCACCCAATTTTATGTATTTCTTGTTTTCAGTATTTCAAAATTGCACCTGCACACGGTCTGAATTGCACAAATACAATCAACTGATTTTTGGGATGTTGTGCAGTAGTTTGCCTTTTTTAGCTTTGGCATTATCATTACAATAACAGAAACTGTATCATTTTAAAACATGTGGCATTGAAAAGTATCAAGACAATTTTGACAACCTTAGTGAGCAGTGGCATAATCCGTAAATAGCAAATTTAATTATTCATTTATTCATCTGTATTGCATTTTGTATTTCTACAATTCTGCAATTCATTTAGCAGACGCTTTTATCCAAAGCGACGCAAATCAGAGAGAAAAAAACAACACAAGCAAGAATCTAGAAAGGAGGAAACAAGGTCAATAAGTTCAAACAAAAAGCTTTAACTCCGGTGGGACACACAGGAGCTGACAGGAGGAAAAGAATAACATCGACTAGCTTCTCTGTTTATTTGTATTATTTGATGTGATTTTTGTTATTTGAGGTGTTGACATTTTATGGACACCTTCCGAAACAGGTGTCAGTCACGTTACATTAAGAAAGCTTTTTAGATTTTCCCCTCTGAAATATGTCTTCAAGAATTTCAACAATACAACTAAATGAGAGGAAACAAGAAGAATAAAGAGTGAAGTGTCACCAGGGGGCTTTTCATGTGTTTTAAATTTACTTCACTTTGATTCTCACTCTGCTTATTTGTTTTTCTGTTTATATATTGAGATGTGTTTCCCCCCTCCTCACTTCAGTATCATTAGTTGTATTTTGAGTCCACACCATGCCAGAGTTTCTAACAATGTTGAAGAAGACAGTTTGTCCTGTTACATAACACCAGTTCTAAATATACAGGCGAAGTGCCAACTTGTCAAGCATTCATTTCCCCTGGCACCAGATCCACCAAACGAGCTAAATCAAAAAACTTTACGTTTTTGTTCTGAAAGTAGGCTCAAAGTTCGTGTTTTAACATGCACAGTCTGTGGTTTTAAACGGGAAGTCGAGTGATTTATGAGAAGGAATTCCCTGCAGAGGTTAAACTCAGAGCACACAAAGTCACACCAAGTGCTGATTTAAAGGTGCTGCGGTTGATTGGCTGATAAGAGGAACCCAAAAAACTCAACGCGACTTCTGATTGGACCTGCCAGCACGCTCAGCGCATGTGACAACACAGCGGAAATACGCAACGTTTTGTGATTTTTTTTTACATTAAAAATAAAAGCACATAAGTGAAAATCTTTTTTATATATATAGATTATTAGACTGCATTAAGAAGATTTTATTTTGTGTATTCAACCTAATTAGCTTTAAAAACAGCAATACATCTGCAGGAGGAGATGGACAGGGACAATATAGACCAAGAGCATTTCATGGAAGAAGATCCATCTCTGTAAATTAAAGTTGGACTGCAGAATTAGGCCAATTAAAAATATTTAAAAAATATTATAAAAATGCAGTATGGAGTATTTAGAATATATTATTTTTTCTGCAATATTTAGAAAAAATTAAGTAGAAGCTACAGTTTTGGATATAAAAAGGTATGACAAAATTGGAAGATAAGGAAGTACTTCAGGGCTGCAAAGATACTGTGGCTGATAGTTTTTTGTATTTAAAATTTAAAGTGTGGTAAATACTACAGCTACCTGTGATAAGACTTAAGCTTGGACAGCTCACATACTTGACTTTTATGTCATCCGTTTTGCTGGTGTCTATGTTGTTTTGTTTGTTTTTTGTGTTTGCTTTCTTGTTTTTCTCTTTGTTTGTTTTCAGTGTTCATTGATGCGTGTTTATCTCCCTTAATGTCCGCTTGTATTGTTTCTGAATGTTACAGTCTTACAAGATGAAGGCAGGTGGAGATATGTGGGTAGGTGGGCTGTTTTGCTTGCTGTAAAAATAAAAATCGGAGGAACTTCTTTGCCTCAATTGTACATTTTACGCCTTGCGTTAGACCTTCTAAAATATCAAAAAATAACCATTGCTGTTTATTGTGAATCATTTCTGTTAAAATTGCTGTGGTATGTTTATTTTCCAATACATTTCAGCCCCTTACAGTAATAGCTCAGCCTTAAACAACCACAGCAGTAAACCACAGAAATACAGCTGTAATGTAAAAAAAAACTCAGAGTAGGCTACTAAAACTTAAACTTTAGCTGGCAATACCTTTACACTTAAGGTTAAAAAATACAGGTATTTTTCAGAGTTTCAATGTGTGATAAAAAGAAAAAAAATCTACTTCTGTCTGAATTCTTCCACCAAATCTCCTTGCCATGTAAAGCTTTTATTATGAAGGCTCAGACCGGAAGTAGCTCTTGTTGGACGAATTCATTTTTTGACACCGACAGGCAGCCGTCCCTACAACTCTTACACAGCAGAGTGTGAATATTACCCAACTTCAGGAAGCTTCCTTATGTTACTGTAGACAATGTTGTTCTCTCCGACGGGTTTCACTGAATGTTTACGCGAATGGGAGAATTTGGAGAAAGATCACCAACAAATTCAGGTGAGTTTCTCTAACTCTTAACGTCACCTATGATACAAGTGTGAACTGTCCCGGTGGGCAACCAGGCAGCAGCTGGGGGATCCGCCCTCCACAGCAGCTCAAGATATGAATTAGTAATGAGAAACAATGAGAGAAACAATAACTCAGGAGAAGGTAGAGTAGATCTCCTCGATTACGAGCCCCCCTGAACGCAACACATGTTTCATGATAACAGTAAGACTTTGTGTTTAGAGAGAAGGAGAACTACTTACTGGACTCTCAGGGACGATTCATTGGAGTTTTTTGACACATTTTATTTATAAAGCACACAACTTAGATATACATGCAACATGTCGTTTTGCATTTGGCGTCATTAAATAGCCTTACAGTTGTGTCTAAAGCTTTCAGAGCATTTACTAAAGTAACAGGATAAAAAAAAACACACAGCACCACAAGTCTAAAAATGTATCTTCAGTAACTGTGCTCTCAATGTACAAAGTTATGACATTAAATATAAACATATTATAAGCAAAAACACTAATAAACAAGTGCAGTGGTGAGTAGTGCAAAAATGCTGAGATAAACATGATAATAAATATGTAATTATGAAACAGATGGAAAATAAACTCAAGAAGTAGATAAGACAGATTTTACTAACACTATTAATAACAGCCTTACATCTATTATCATTAATATAAATATTATAATGAATCTATTATCTGCTCAACATCAACCTCAATAATTAACTCAATGAGTCCTCCCGTTTCATCATCATTACAGTTCCTCTTATTATTTAGACTGATCGGTCTATTGTCATGCTTACTACACAAACTGTTAACATTATGATTTATATTGTAGCTTTAAATCTATCTGTCATTGTTTTTGTTGTTGCTCTGTGTGTCTCTGTTCTTGTTCCTCTTCCTGCCTCTCCGTCTGTCTCACTTTCCAAACCCAGCACAGTTTCATCAGATGTCTGTTCCTCATGAGTCCGGTTCTGTTCGAGGTTTCAGCCTCTTTAAGGAAGTTTTTTCATGCCACTGTAACTTTAAATGTTGCTTCGTGCTCGTGATGGATTCATGTTGGCTCTCTGTCGATAAAATAACAAAGAGTAAGGTCTTTTAGCTGCTCTTTTTGTGAAGTGTCTTGAGATAACATTTGTTATGAATTTGCACTATACAAATAAAGATTGACCAGTAGATCACACTTATTTTCATCCACTTCTTATTTCACTCGAGGGGCAGCAGTAGCTCAGTCTGTAGAGACTTGGTTGTGGTGCAGAACAAATCTGGAAACTGGTCTGGAAGCTGGAGAGGTGCCAGTTCACCTATTTTTTATTTTTTTATTTTTTTATTTTACAGTGACATTGCATATTGATAAACATTTCTGTAAATATGCCAAAAGGCTTTTTCCTCTGTTGTCCCTGGTCAGATTTTATAAAAGGCTCCCTAAAAAAACATCCTCAAACATCGCTAAAAGCTACAAAAATAGAAATATCATGACAGTAATTAAGCAGACAGGTGAGCAGCCACAGGAGAAAATTCAATTCAATTCAATTCAATTTATTTGTATAGCCTCAACTCATAACAAGACACTTTACAAAGAGCAGGTAAAAGACCTTACTCATTGTTATGTTACAAAAAGCAGGTAAAAGACCTTACTTACTTATTGCTATATTACAAAGACCCGGCCTATCCATCATGAGCACTTTAGCAAAGCAGCAAAAGTTACAGTGGTAAGAAAAAACTGCCTTATTAAAAGGCAGAAATCTTCGGCTGGATCCCCGGCTCATGACGAAACAGCCTTCACAGGCCTAGACTGTGCCGGGGTTGGAAAGGGATAGGGGGAGAGATGGGATAAGATGCAGGAAGAGGGATAGGGAGCAAGGGGGTGGGGGGAGGCAGGCCGTGCAGGATACACATAAAGCAGCAATTGGTCAATATAAAAAATGTATATCATGCAGGACAGACATGGAGCAGCATTGAGCAGACATAACAAAAAAAAAAAACCTTCTGAGCACTGGCGAGGTTCCCTTGAGCAAAGCACCGACCCGATCTGTAACTAAAGCTGTAAATAAATGTATTGAAAGTCAAATAATTCTTTAAGGAAGTGGAGTAGAAGTATATAGAACCTCGGTGTAAGCACCTTAAATATGTTTTAAGTTGTACCTGATGTAAAAAGTTACATTACAGCCCTCTGACTGAAACAACAGACTGATCAGACGGTTATAAATCAACAAAAGTACATGAATGAAAGAATCTCAAATCAAGATCGTGCAGTTGTTGAAACATGATCTCGATTACCACAGAGCTGACTGTGCAGCACTCTGGAGCAACTGCCATTGTAGGTCACATACTCGGCTAAAAACAATCAGCCTCTGTCTGCGTGTACCATTCATGCAAACTCAACAACACACGTCTAAAACATACTGGGAACTGTTTAGTAATGGTGTGTGCGACGGGGAGGTGAAATCATTGTTGAATAAATAAAGGCCCAACAAAAAAACCTTATCCAACTGGTTCAGAATTGAAGGACCATCCTGTTTTTTGTTTTTTTATATTTATTTTGGAGCTTTTTATATCTTAATTTGAGAAACAGGACGGGAGGGAGAGAGAGTGGGGAATGACTTGCTGGAAAGGAACTACAGGTCGGATTCTAACCTGTGGCGTACGCTTTCAGGACAACATCTTCTGAACATCGTGGGGGAGGGGGTAGGCTGTAAACTAACCACTAGGCCACCGGCACCCCTTTTACCAAACAAACAATGAGTCGCTGATTATTTACATGACAATTCAAACTGAACTTTTAAAGATAAATATGCAGCGAGTGACCCGTTTGGCAGAATTGTTGACAATTCACACGGATGTTTTGTGTCTTCTGTACCTTGCAGAATCATGCATTACTTACAGTTATTACTACACACCACAAGTTGATACATGTTTCTTTTTCCACTTTTAGGACACCCACCGTCTTTACAAACAGAAGCTTGAGGAAGTCACCAAACTGCAGGACAGCAGCTCCGGTGCTATTTCACGTCAGAGGAAGAAACTGAAAGAGCTGTCTCTGTCACTTGAAGCGTGAGTACGGATCAGCAGGTTCACTGAGGAGACACTGTAAATATTTGTGCAGAGGCAGTACTGCGCCTAAATGGCTTTGACTTATTACAGGACTCCGACCTCACCTTCGCTGTAAGTGGGACATTGGTCTCGCAAGATTTTAAAAACAAAAGATGGAATATTGAGCCACAGTTAAACCATGAAATCCATTATTATACTTTTTTTTTTTTTTTTATAATTATTTTTATTGCTTTCATGCTTTCCATCAGTCATGCAAGTTTTTACCAACCAAAATAATACCATAACATTTAACTTAGTTACACTTTTCAAGAGTGAAGTCAGGATCACATGAGATATTGACCTTTAAATCCCAAAACACAGCAGAGAAATGATTAGAATTTTTTAAGAATCGTCCAAATGAACAACACCGTTTAATTGTTTTATCACAGTACATTCATGTCATTAAGTTTGTAGCTTGAAAATGTGTTTTGTGCAGAACATTATGACAAGGCCGAGTTTGACATTCAGCATTTTGTAATGAATGTTATTTAGCAGCCCCAGTTATAATCTGAGGGAGTAGGAATCAAGTTTCAGAAGAGAGAAATCTGCGTATTTTGTTGAACGGGAACGGCATCCAAATTTCTGTCCCCTGTTCAATAATAATAATAATAATAATAATAAATTAGATTTATATAGCGCTTTTCTAAATACTCAAAGACGCTTTGACAGGAAACGAAAACAAAAAAAACAAAGCAAAAACTAAGAAGTAGTGTTTAAACCTATCCCTATCTAGAGCTGCAGTGTTGGGGACTGTAGCATGGAAAAATGGGTTGTGTCCAATTTAAAATCCTGCTCCTCACACATAAAGCCCTCAACCGCTCTGACCTCACGGCTCTCCTGGTCCCGGCTGCTCTGCCCGCCCACCAACCTGCAGCAGGTCCAGAAACCAAGCACCGAACCTTGGGGGGGGGACAGAGCCGTCTCTATAGCTGCCCCCTCCCTCTGGAACTCACTCCCCACTCACATCCAACACTGCACTGACCCATCTACGTTCAAATCACTCCTCAAGACCCACCTCTTCACAAGAGCTTTTAATGTATGATTGTGATGTGTATTTTAAATATCTGTGGCTTATCTTGTTGTCTTTATGACCTGTGTGTAATGTCCCAGTGTTTGTTACTGTTCTGATCGTTCTGTCTTTTTTAACAAACATACAGTGTCTTTGAGCTTTATAAGCGCTTTATAAATAATATCTATTATAAATCTAAAACTGTGCAAAAGAGCAAAGATATTAAAACAAATCTTGCTAGTGATTATACACACAACTCTAGGGTGTATAGTAAACTTGTCACAATGTTTTTCATCAATAGATGCAAAGAGAACACCCCAGCACCAACATTAAGTCCTGAGGAGTTGGAGGCCATCGCTGAAATCAGAGCCTCCATCAAAGAGAGAGAAGATGCCTTCTCTGAGATGGAAGCTTTTCTGCCAAAGAAGAACGGGTTAGTCTGAGTGATGTGGTTTTGTAGAAGAGACGACAATAAAGCATAAACATGATGAAATGTGGGCTTTTTGAATGACTGGCTCGTCTTCCTGTTCAGGTTATACCTCAGCCTTGTGCTAGGAAGCGTCAATGTAACGCTCCTGAACAAACAGTCGAAGTAAGCCACCTTCATATTACACAAATAACTTCCAAAATAAAGTGAAATTCACCTCTCACATCACATTTACATGATTTTTTTTTTTTTTTTTGCAGATTTGCCTACAAAGATGAATATGAGAAATTCAAACTCATCCTCACAGTCATCCTCTTCGTGTTCTCCTTCACCTGTCGCTTTGTGTTCAGCTACAGGTAAGACTTCTCAGAGTCTTTTTTATATTCGCTGCATTACAGTGAATCCAACTGAGGGTTTATTTCTTGGATGGATGTGTAATCTGGGCTCTAGTGGGTTATTTTGTATGTAGGATCAACTCAAAGTAAACACCAAGTGACATTCTCCAGAGTTGAAAACTTTTGCCTGTGTGGAAGTAAACAAAAAAAAAGCTGCAGTTCCTCGAGTGTCCACTTGAGGCCGGCTCCAAAAGCCAAGGAAGCCCCATGAGGTCCCTTGTATTGCTTGTATTGAAGTTTTAAATTTTGCTTCTGCGACATCTCTTCCCTAGTCTGACTTTGACAAAGTAGGGAGACTGGTGCCTCTGTGGAGGTAGACCATGTGACTTTGGTTGAGGCGAGTTTAGCTTAAAGACAAAGCTTGTAGGCAAAGCGCCCTGAAGGGAAGTTTCTCTCATTACTCAGCTCTGTTCTCTTAGTAGACACATCAAGGCGGAGGCAAAGTGGTCAAAACAGGACGGAGAGAGAAAAGGAGAAAGTGACTGAGCAGTAGACTGTCAGGAATGAAGCTTGGGGCTTTCTTTTCTGTCTTTGGCAACAATGACTTGAAATGAAACACTGAAGCGGCGCAAAGTCAAACAAAACCGTTGTTAATAATGAGCCCTGAAATTAGATTATTTGGTCATTATGAGCAAGGTGGATGATGAGAGGAGAACTCACAGAGCCTTCACTGCCCGGCCTGTGTTTGAATTCAAGATTCAAAGAAATGTTTTTGTCTATCACTTACAGAACATTGCCTTTGGTTCCACAACATTAAGAAAAACATTCACACCCATTAGACTCTCATGAACTCATACAGAAACGACTGCTGAGTTTGTTTTTTCATCAAATGTTTAAATTTCCCTCGTGGTTAAGTTTTATCTGAAATTGTGTTTTCAGAGCCCTAGATGCCCTCTTCTACTTCCTGTTGGTGTGGTACTACTGCACGCTCACCATCCGGGAGAGCGTCCTCATCAGCAACGGCTCGAGGTCGGCAACAAATTAAACCGTGTCCACTTTTTTTAATACAATGATTATGATGATGTTCCGTTTCCTGGGACCTTGACGTTTAGAGATGAACCCTTTGAACCCTGAATGAGTTTCTCTTTGTGGATTTATCAGCAGTATCCTCTTTAGGATGATCAGTGTGATGAATTAAAATAGTTATGATGTTCTCTAGACCCAGCCTGTGTCTTCTTACATTATGAACTTTCCTTTTGGTTTACAGTAGGGCTGTCAGCATTAACTAGTTAATCACATGCTATTTGTCCCTTTAGTTGCAGATACGCCCCCTCATGACTTCAGATATTTCACTTTTTTTTTCAGCTCATTTGAAATGTTTTGATTTATCTTTAGATCCGTAACAAGTTCTTCTGTCCGTGGTTAAATTTATGTTGTAGTCTTCGATCTACAAGAAGGTCCTTACTTTATTTCAAAATAAAAGCAGGGTTGAATTCAAACAGCAAGAAAGTACTCTCAGCTTAAGACAGTACAGAAATTCAAAATAAAAGCCAAATCTTTTTTATTTTTAAATGTGAAATAATGGATGTGAATGTGAAACTATTACATCAAAAAATGTAATAGTTCGAGAGCCTTACTTTACAGTACTACAACATACTAGGGTTGTCACCATGCCAGATCTCATCTCATTACAACATTTCTATTAAAAACGAAATGATAGTGATACCAAATACAAGTCCTAGACACCCAGGTACCTAAACGTTGATGAAGATCTGAAGATTTTTCTTAAACCTTTGTACGTTTTGATCCCATTGGTCATTAAATTAACTGATACTTTGTCATTTTAAAACAAGTATCAAAGTATGGAAACTTTTACAAGCTTCTAACAAACAGTGCAGTCCTGTATCCTTCAGTGTCCGTCCTCCATGTTGTTTCAGGATCCGAGGTTGGTGGGTCTTTCATCATTATGTGTCCACCTTTCTGTCTGGAGTCATACTCACCTGGTGAGTCATGTTTTTTTTTAAATCTTGTTTGGTTGTTTCCATGGGAACACATTGACATTTTTCTTCATAATAGTTTGTGTTTAGTTGTGTTTGTGCTCCATTCTAACCAGCGGATCTCTTTGTTTTCAGGCCTGAAGGGGTTCTCTATCAGATGTTTAGGAACCAGTTCATATCATACTGTCTCTACCAAAGTAAGAGAGCGGTGTCCTAAGTGTCCCTGTTTGATATATACACACTATAATCAGCACAGTGTACTCTTCAGGCCAGCTTTCCTCAGTGTTTTTGGCCTTCTTATCACAGAGTTTCACAATAGGTTGGACATAAAAATGCTTCTGAACTTTACTGTATAAAAACATTAAAAAAAAAAAAAAAAAACGTGCTCCTCATTACTTCTGAACAAGAGATGTGGAGGAATAGAAGAAACAAGGATAACCCTAACCCTAACCCTAGGTCCAAACTGTCTTTACTTATTAATGATGGTTCCTTATGTTCATGAAAAAATAAACCCTGAAAATGTAAAACAATATCGGGAAGTGTCAATAGGCTCACACAGAAAGTCCAGGAAGCTCTTGCAGGTTTCATATTTGGAACGACACATGATCCTGTAAATGAATTAGTCTTCTTTCAAACACTCAACATAAAGTGTGATGTCTGGGCCGATTATTAACGTCTTCTTGTGTTTATTTTTCTCTGTTCTGTTTGTTAAGGCTTCGTCCAGTTTCTCCAGTACTACTACCAGAGTGGCAGCTTGTACCGACTCAGAGCGCTCGGAGAAAGGCATAACATGGACCTTACAGTCGGTGAGTACAGTTGAAGCTGAAGCTGCCGTCAACCACATTTTAAATTCCGAATTAGGAGACTCTGACATAATGGGCCTGTGTCCACTAATGCCCTTTTTCTTGGCAGTTCTTATTTTCCATATGAAACCAATGCAGTTAAGCGTTTTCAGCGCTCAGCGTCTTAAATGTTAACTTACCCTCTGTGCCAGCTTTTTTCTTCAAAAGCTCAAGTTCAGCTTTTGGAACATTGCCACACTCATTAATGTCACTTCTCCACTGTATCAACAACAATGCCAGAGGGGGAAACGTATCCCTTTCCTTACACAGTTCATCCCATGTGCCCAAACTCATTTTTCCAATACATTGTCCAGGTCTGCTGCTAATTTCAGGACATGATTCTTTTACATTGTTTGTATGTTTACTTTGTAAAAACTCTCATAACTGGTAAATGTCAGTGACTCTCTGGTCTCCTCTCCTGGTGTTCAGAAGGTTTCCAGTCCTGGATGTGGAGAGGCTTGACCTTCCTTCTACCTTTCTTGTTCTTTGGTCACGTGAGTAGCCTTTCCCATCACTCAGCTCGCTGCTAACTTCACTGTAGAGCACAAACATTAAGGGTTTGAATCAAAAACAAAATGATTCATTGATTAGTCAAGGATCAAGGTAAACTTTATTATCCCAGAGGAGCAATTTGATTTACAGCCAGCAGGGAATAAAACAAGAAAAAGAGTCGCATAGACTGAAATACACACTTCAGCCCCGTTTCCACCAAGCAGTCGGGTTTGGTTCAGTACAGTTTGAACCTGAACTTGTTTGCGTACCCTTCTTTGGTTATCAGAGTGTAAGCCGGATGGAGATCGCCTCGTCAGCTATGTAATAGTGTGACATCATAGCAGCCCAACACAGTTTAGCCAGCTATTAATGAAGTCAAACATTCAAGAAGAACAGGGACACAGTAAACAAGGCACCCTATAGGTTCAGATCGGTACCCTTGGCACCCCAACAGAAGGGTACCAAAAAAGTAGGACGGTACGGATCCCTTATTTTGATACCATTCCCAACTTTTGACGGTGGAAACGACAATAAATGGGTACCGTACCGTACCGAACTGAACCGGACCGCTTGGTGGAAACGGGGCTTTAAAGTGAGTTTTAACCCTCATGCATCACCATGGACATTTTTGTCCATTTGGTCAAATGTTTCCTCTTTATCTGGCCATCATTTTGTCTGTGTTAGTGCATATGGCACACATTTTTTTTAAGAAAGTCTCGCTCTTGACACATTTTGGAATGCAATTTTTTCTTTTTTTTAATAGATTAATAGAACACTGTGAAACATTTTTACTACCTTCTTAAGTCATTAAGGACAAAAATGTCCACTTCCAAAAACTGCTATAAAAATAGAATTGTTAAAGAATTGAATAAGTATCAGGAATTTAACCCTTTAAATGCCAGTTTGATTCCATGATTCTGGAATTTAAAGGGTTAAATTCCTGGTAATTATTCAATATTTGATCATTTTGAGCAGGGCTGGAGTTGTTTAAGAGATTTATGCAAAAAAAAAAGTAGAAAAAAATATGAATCTATTCTATTTTTATAGCAGTTTTTTGAAAGTGGACATTTTTGTCCTTAGTGACTTAAGAGGGTAGTAAATTAAACTGATGCTTAAAGCATTCCTGATTGTTTACTGTTACTCCTCTTACAGTTCTGGCAGTTCTACAACGGCATCACACTCTTCAAGATGTCTCAGCTCCCGCAGTGCAAAGAGTGGCAGGTTTGTTCACGAGGGAAACTCAAAAGTCTTGTTGTTTTGTAATCTTATTCTCTCTTCATGTTCGACAAGTTTCAAAGAGCCTCTGACTCAGAATATCTTTCATGCTGTGGTTTAGGTTATGATGTGCGGCTGCGCTTACATGGTGCTCTTCCTGGGGAACTTCTTCACCACACTGGGAGTCGTTTACCAGAAATACATGAACAATCAGGACAAGCCCAAGAGTTTATAGGACTGAGACGACCAACTGAGCTGAATCACCAAATATCATGGAAAACCACCACAGCTCTAATATTCTCATTCAGGCACTTTATAATGTCCTTAAAGACTTTTTACATGTACCGCCCCTTTTATCAATGTCCTTATAAATTCAGTGAGTGTGTGTAAATGATTTCTAAAGCGATATGTCAAAATGTGCTGTCACTCCAAACAACCAGGTACCTCGTATGCCGGTCTTACTGTGCAGCTCTGTCAGGTTTCTGTAAAGAACCCAATATTATAGACAGTGTTACTGAATATGCATCATATTTATTGAGGGAAATCTACAATCTGTTACTGAGCTGCTTCTTTTTAAGCCGTACAGAAAGTTATTTTATGAAACACTCCTCCACTGCTTTATGTTTACACTCTTTCCCCTCAAAGACTTCCCAGATCATTTCGTTTAAATTCAACGTGAGACCCCAAAGTCGAGAGATATGTGAGCGTTTTACATCAAAAAAAGGGGAAATTTAAAAAAAAGCCACACAAATGTTGTCGTATTTTGTGTTCTTCTTTCCCACTGCTTTATCGTCGGCTCTATCAGAGCTCGTGTCTGAACTAATAATGGAAAGTGATTGCATCTGTTTTGAAAATGAGACTTTTAAACCAGAGCATGTGTTTGTTTCAATCAGTTTGTGTTTATGAATTTGTCTGCTTTTTATATGTTGTTTTTTTTCCTCTTCTATCTTTTATTGTATTGCTGCGGGGCACATCTGTGGGTCTCAGTGGGTTCTCCCTGCTAAAATAAAGGATCAATGAAATCTCAGCTGCACAGATTTTTATTTGGACCCTTTGAGAAACCCTGAAAAAGTGGAGAACTTCTGAACTAAGGTACCAAATTGTATTTTTTTTTTAAAGTTCAAACTAGTTAAAAAACTTCTTACTAAAGTATTTACTTCTTTTAAATACTGGTTATGGTATAACTCTGTTAACTCATTCAGAGATATTTAGTCTAACACATTATATCCTTCCTTATTATATATTATTCATTCATATTATTGTAACTTCACTTACCTTACTTTAACCTACTATGAAAGAACTTCTCTAATACGTATATGTGGTCAGGACAGTTTTAAAGGTCTGACTCAAACAGTTTGAAGCCCGTTTACAGAAAAGTAGATGTTTATATGAGCATTGAAATATTCCCTTTGCTTTATCATCCTATTAGTTTTTAACTTTTGCTAAAATGTTGCTAAGTGCTACGCTCATGATGGATTAACTCTGGGTCTTCTTTGTTATATAGTAATGGCAGGCAACTGCTTGGGGCCCCAGACCAGTTGGGGGCCCCTGAGGGCTCACAAACTTTAAACCACAGCAGCCGCCCCAAATGTGCAAATTTTGCAATGACGGTAGGAAACCTGCCTAAGGGGGCCCCACTTGAAAGCACTCTCTCTTGTTGCCTTGCTAAGCGTTGAATGCATTATTGCTATGACAACTCAAAGTTTGTCAATGAAAGTCAACAAAGGAAAATGTAGAGGAGTTATCCGTCTAGGACGATGGCAGACATGATGGTGATAAATGCAAGTTGTAGGGCCCCCCAAAAATGTCTAGCCTGGGCCCCAACAGAATCTAGAATCGCCACTTAGTACGGTCTTTTTACCTGCTCTTTTCTAATATTAAATTACAAAGACTAAGGTCTTTTACCTGCTTTTTGTAAAGTGTCTCGAGATAACATTTGTTATGACTTGGCGCTTTACAAATGAAAATTGATTACTTACTTTAAAATTAGGACAAAATCTACTTCTAACTAGATTCATTACTGCAATATAACAAATTGACCACAAGGGGGCGGCATTGAACTGTTACTGCAAAACTGGTCCTATGTGTGTAAATGTTTCTTCAATTTTTTTTTTTTTATTGAAGTCTTGTTCTGCACACACATTAGGAATCATTTTCCCAGATAGATAAACATTTCTGTGAGGTGATTACACCCCGTCACCTGGTGCTGCAGGATGAACGGGAAAGTGTTGATCTGCAGTGAATATTGTTCACATGACATCTCGCTCAACCTTCATTTTAACTGAGTGAGTTTTTCTCATCCCTTCAGAATAAAATGATCATTGTTGTAGCTGAAACAAGACAAATATTAGAATTGAGAGACCTTCAGTTGGATGCCAGCTATAGCAGATAAAAGTTATTTATTATTTATTACAGACAGCAGAAAAAAACCCAACTGTGAACTTTTTAAGGAGTAAAACAACCTTCAAAGTATTTTCTCTGCCCTGATACTCCCTCATGGTACACTAGCATGAGAATTTAAACAAAAATGGGCTTTTCCGAAATCCTGAACATTTTCTGTAGTGCATCAAATGTGTTTTAATCCACCTCGGACAGAATCCCAAATTCACCATTGGTTCCTGTTTGAATAATAATGGTTATAAAACAAAGGGTGCCAGGTGATAAAGAAATGATTCAGCCTGATCTAAATCAAAACTCCACATTTGTCGGCCGTTTGTAAAGATTTCTGTCTTTATCAGAATGAATGAGCTGTGTGGGTTGTGTGGCTCCAGCTCATAAGTGACTAACAGGTGTTAGAGATTACCTACCTGCTATCTAGTGAAACCAGACACAAGCAAATGAGCTGAGCTGAATCAGCAGGGAAAGAAAACCCTGTTTGGTTTTTACACCTGTGTCACTGCACCTGGTGGTGGTTCCAGATGGGGGAGCTGTTTATTCTCACTTCAGCGAGGAGCTAACAGTGCTTATTTTAGGATGTGCTTTTGTCCCATTGTGGTAGGTAGCAGTGCAACTGGAGTTTCTATGATTGAGTGTTAGCAACTGGGACTTTTTACTGGGAGCTTTAAACATTCAGAATTTGGTCTGTGATGTTTTGACTTGTTCATCATTCTGGACACTCTGCTTTGGATTGGGTTACTTTTCTTCCGCTCTTTACTTCTTGTGGTGGATCATCTTTCTGTTTTTGTCTATATTATTTCTTTGTTTTTTTCATCAGATCAGCCTCATATGAATCTATTAACATCTTTTCTTATAAGCAGATGTGCAAAAACTGGAATGGCTTTTTCAGTTCAATGTGTTTAAGCTTGCTAATTGTGTCTCCAAAGCTTGGAAAAGAAGACAAGATATGTTTGTTTCAGTAGGGTTTGTCTTGCTTTTTGTCTTCTCTTCTTGTTTTGTGACAATGAATAGACCTACTCTGATCCTGGAACATTTGACCTCATGGTGTCATGTAAGCACAGGCGAGCTGGGCATATAAATGTATGACACAATAATAAAATAAAAACATCAAACTATAATTATTTCAAATTGGCTGTTAAGTTTTAATGAGTAACTTTGTTTAATCTTGAAAAAGAGGGCTAGGTGTTCTTTTTAATTATGAGGTGTCTTGGAAGTAAATGTGGACAAACAGGTTGTTTATGCGTCATAAGTAAATACTATGGCATCAGTACGATTATCAGTGTAACATGTAGCTCCAAAGAGAAGAATCCTCTGAGAAAAGATGAGTGAAAAGATTTCAATAAAGCTGCATTTCTTGAGGTTTATGACTTAAACATGTCCGCAGTAGAGTCACAGTGCCAGAACACAAAGAAATAATGGCTGGGGAGAAATTTGCACATAAGATCAGAGGGAATAATACCTGAAAAATTTAAAATGGAAACCAGCCTCACTTCTAATTCATTACAGCAGAACTTCCCCCCACTCCACGCAGAAAGTCTTGGATGAGTTGGTGCTGCAGGGCCAGAGAGAAGGAGCAGAGTGAATGAGGTGGTAAGGAGGGGAAGGAGGAGGGCTGGGTATTCTCCCAGCCTGCACCGCTTTCATCTTTCTCATTAAAGCCGCAGCAGTGGGGGCCGTCAAGAATGAGCCCAAGGACATGGGGATCGGGGACCGAGCCTGAGCCTCGCATCAGGAGGTGCAGGAGGAGGGAGGGAGGGGAACAGCCAGAGTGAGCAGACGGGCGGCCATGTCAAACCTTCACCTTAAACTTAACCCACCTCCCTCTGGGATGCAGATAAAGACCTCTTATCTGTGCTCACCTTCTCTCCAGGCCTGGGAACGACTCTAGCAGCAGGAAGTGCGGCGGGAGGAGGTGTATTTGGTTGAGTAGGTCCGGAATAATACACATGCCTTTTTTTTCTCAGACAGGGTTTATGAAAGAGGAGGGCAGCACTGATGAGCTTCCATCTGGGACAGACTGATTAAAAGAGGCGAGGAGAGGAAGTGGAGCAAGATAGAAGAGGTGATTCTGAGGAAGAGGCTGATCCAGGATTGAAACACAGTCGGTCTCTGCCTGGAAAGCTTGAAGGTTTACTCAAAGTTGGCTAATTTTTATGTTTTTCCTTATTCTCCTCTATTATTTTTTTAACATTGCCTTTTTTCTAAGATACTTGAAGTAGCAGAAGAGTTATCTAGGCAGAAACAACATGCTGCAGAGGTGGGGGATATCACTCATAGCCTCTCATGTTAAGCACAAAGTGTAAAAGGAAGGGATAAACATGTTGTGAAATACGCTGAGACACTCCTTACCTGAGGTTTAGGCGGGACATAGGAAGCTACAGCTTGCAGCAACTTAAGTTTAGTTTTGTAGAAAAAGTGGAAAAAGAACAGCTACTCTGCAAAAAATAAAATCTTACCAAGTGTAATATCTAGAGAAAATATCTTGTTACACAAAGCCATAGTCACCTGACAGGTCAAGATATTTAAAAGCCAAAAAAAACAGCTGAAAGGCTTGCAATGAGGAAAAGAAGCTGCTTAAAATAGGATCATAGTCATGTTTTTACAAGGAGATGACAAAGTCTTCCTCTTAAACCCTCTGAAGATTAACCTTGAACATGTTTTATCTCAAATGTTTAACAAAATCCATACTACATCATTTTAAGACAATAGATGAGGCGTACATGTACATGTGTAGAACCATTTTTTACCACTAACTTTTGATGTGATTGACTACCAAACTCATAAAATATCAAGGCAGCAGGAAATCACCTCAGCCCCTAAAATACAGACTGCCACTCAAAATAAATGTGTGAAAGTTGTGTTTTACGGCTTTGTCTCATGTCCCCAAGTGCCAAAAAAAAAACCTCTTAATGCCTGCAAGGCTGTAAGAAGAAATGAAAGGTAGATGTTGAAGAGTAAAATTAAAATTAAAATGTTTTGAAGTGTACACATGTTTTCTGTTCTTCAGCTCGCTGGAAGTATAAAATAACACATTAAGTTGTTTATTGCCAACTAACTAATGTGGGAAACAAAGTTGTTTGTTTGGGGTGTATTAGTAAAAGTGCTTTCTCCAGGTATGTCATCAGTTCACCTTCTTACAAGCTTTAAATTAAAGAGAAATGTGTTGCCAGTCAGTGACCTGTCATCCTGTAACACAAAGAAATGTTTGCATGGACAACAAATCTGGCTGAGTTTGGATGAGTCACAGTTCATTATTCACCATGAAACGGTTCAATATTTTAGAATCTGCGCGGCTATGCTATGTCAGTGTGTACTTCCCATTGATGAACAGAGTCCAGATTTGCTCAAATGATACAAAATTAAAGTTGAAGTTTGCCTGAATCCGAGACGGTGTGAACTTACTTGTGGCTTCACGAGTTACTGAAACACTCTGCCTTTGCTTTGTGTCGATTAACCGTGGCATGTGTCTTTCTGCAGATGAAAGTGGGAGACATGATTCAGACCGAAAACATCCAACAGCATGTACTGCCAATCAGGGGAGAGGAAATTAAATATACGCCTTTAATTGAAGTAAATGATTTGACAAAGTCAGGGTCATAAAGAAACGCAGGTCTGTGCTCTTGCAGCTAT